CATGGCCTCTTCTTCTCAGTGCGAATATAGTCATTCAGGATCCGCTCGTTCTCCAATTGCTTGGTCAGCTTCTGGACTTTCTGTTCCTGTTCATTGAACCTTTCCCGATAAGAATCCCGTTCTTCTTGTAGTTGCGCCCAAGACCTCTTTAGTGTATCAACGTCAGTGGGTATCTGAGGAGGGAGTACAGTTGGAGGAACCCCGTCCCTATCAGGAAATTCAAGAATAATAGGCTGGACAGCTTTGTATGGCATACCTAACTTCTGAGCACGAATGCGAACCCATCTGTAGTAGGATTCCATTGGTAGAGAAGTCTTCGGTCCCAACTCATGTGGGTCAGCTTTATGAATTCTGTCCCAAGCCTTGATGAATCTACGGCGCAGCTCGTCACTATCTACCTGGAACTCAAAGTTGATGTGAGGTACCAACATCTCATGAGGCCCTGCTCTTCTGGCTCTTCCAAACTGACGGAGAGCTAAACATGGATTATAAGAGATTCCTCCCTGGGTACCGATCAAAGGACCATTAGGATACTCTCCGTAACGATCAATAACAGCTACCTCATCCAAACCTCTGAGAGTCCAAATGATGTCATTATCAGTGAGAGACATTAACCTATAAACCCAACCCATTCCTTCTTTGTTCTTCAGTACGAACTTAGGGAGGTGCGAAATAAACCACCTCACTAACAAAGGAGCACAACACCACAGAGTTCCCCATCTTCGGGCAGTACGAGCATAGAGTTGTTGCAGGATATCACTCAAGAGAGTGGGCACAGGGTTCCGAGACATGAAGATCCTTATGGCATTGACGTTGACAAAGTTATCAGGATTTGGAAACAGTACTAGACCATAGATTAAGAGAGCCAAAATGTCTTCGTACGCCCTAAAGTCTAAGTCATTCCAGAAACTATTAGCTTTACCAATCAGAAACTTAGCCAAAAAGCCCTTAACTCCGCTTCTAGTCACCCAATTATCCATTACCTCTTTGGTTGTCAAGGGAAGGGCTGCAACAATCTCCTCAAGCCTAAGAGTCTTTTCCCAACCAGTGAATGGGGTCTGTTCCAAAACAGGGATACCAAGCAAATCAGAAAATTCTTCCAGGGTAGGGACCAGCTGAAAGTCTTGAAAGGTGAAGCAATGGTATAAGGGATCATAAAACTGGGTCAGGACACTCATCAATTGTTGGTCCCAATTTGAAGTGACTAAACTGAGAAGAGAACCATGCCTCTGGATGAAGGAAGTAGTATTTGGAATTCTGTCAACCAATTCTTTAAGCAAATCAGGTGGGTGAACAAAGTTGAGCCGGATAGTATTCCTTCGCACAGGCATCATAATATCCTACAAAACAAAGCAAAGATGAAACCCTTTTGTCTTTGAAATGGGTCAGTCCTTATGCAGGATGCATGCAATGGTATGATGGTATGATGTTATGATAAAGCACACCACAAATATTCACAAAAGGCAAACATGATAAGGCATACAAGTCACACAAGACAGCCCTTAGAGTTTAGGCCAGCATGAAGTTTAGGTACTACCCTCTTTCAGTTTTGTTGGTTAAGACCTGTCCTAGAAAATAGTAACCGGGTTCTAGAGGATCTCAATATCACTGACTACCCTCAATCGGTTATAACTCCAGCATCACAATCTTTTCTTACGGCCAGAACCATCGCGAGAGTTTAGCCTCAATGAGTGTAGCATAATGCTAATGTTCTATGGCCAAGTTGGGTCAATTTAGGGTTCTAAGGTCGGTTGGTGCTTAATGACTCCTCAGAAGACCCATATTATCTTCGTTCCAACACAAGGGATCACTACAAGAAAATTAGTGTTTAACGACACAAAAATTGCGACAGTTATGTGATAACTGTCGTAATTGACATATAGAGACAGTGTTTACGACGGTAAAACAACCGTCGGCCCCCATTTAACACTTTTAACATTGATTTTTCACCAACAACTAGTCACGACGGTAAAATTAACCGTCCTAAAAGGCATATCACGACGGTAAAGCACCCGTCGCACCTTTAAACCTTTCACGACGGTAAAATTATCCGTCCTAAAATTCATTTCACGACGGTAAAACAACCGTCGCACCCAAAACCTTTAAAAATTCTCATGGGCACGACGGTAAAACACCCGTCGCCATAAAAAAGTTAAAAAGCTCTTAAAAAGCTCTTATTCATTTCATTATTCTTGTTACAATTTTATTTTTACAGTGAACCCTTCATCTCTCTCCCGCGCAGCCTCTCACCCCCCAACCTTCAAACCCAGTTCTCCCTCAATCAAAACCCAACCACCAAAAACAAACAAAAAGCTAAAGATCTTACCCCTTTCGCGATTGCTTTATGACTTTCTGTCCGATTTGTTCTGATCTTCTTTCTCTCTTGATCCCAATACCAAATCATCGAGTTTGGAGCAAAACCCAAACTCCTCAATTCCAATCGAGTTTGGAGCAAAACCCATAGCGCCATCTCATCTCTTGCCAAATTGCACAACTCATCTGATCCTAATGAGCGAGAAGTTTGTGAAATTCTCAAGGGTTTGGGAGACAATGTTAAAGAAGTTGATGCGGAGCATGTTCTGCATAACATAACAAACCCTGAAATTGCGATTCTTGCTGTTAAATACTTCCAGAAGAAGATTGAACCGGAGAGACATGTTGTTCTTTACAATGTGTTGTTTAAGCTTTTTAGAGAAATTAATGATTTTGAAAAAGCAGAGAAGGTGTTTGAGGAAATGCTGCAGAGAGGAGTCAAGCCTGATGTTGTTATGTTTTCGACTTTGATTAGGTGTGCTTCTGTTTGTTCTCTGCCTCACAAATCCGTGGAGTTGTTTGAGAGGATGCCTTCTTTTGGGTGTGAGCCGGATCATAATGTGTCGTCGTCGATGATTTATGTTTATGCTCGCACAGGTAATGTTGATATGGCTTTGAAATTGTATGATGATGCGAAAAATGAGAAGTGGCCTGTTAGGGCAGTTGCATTCTCTGCTTTGATTAAGATGTATGGTGTGTTGGGAAACTATGATGGGTGTTTATAATGGCTTTGAGTGTTTATAATGATTTATGCAGCAAGTGTTTATAATGGCTTTGAGTGTTTATAATGGCTTTGAGTGTTTATAATGATTTATGCAGCAAGTGACTTGCTGTTACGATTTACTGACATTCAGTTTTTGTCGTTTTGATTTTCATAAAAGTTAAAAAAAAATATATTAATGGTTTTCTTTCATTGAAACAGGGATTACTTGCAATACAACTTACAGCTGTATTCAAGAATCTGCATCCACCATCCTGTGCAAAGGAAAGTAGCACATGCATTGGACCAACAGCGGGACAAATGACGTTTCTATTTTCTGGGTTTTGCTTACTCTTGATAGGTGCTGCAGGGATTCGACCGTGTAATTTAGCATTCGGTGTTGATCAATTCAATCCAAAAACAGAATCAGGAAAGAAAGGAATCAACAGTTTCTTCAATTGGTATTATTTCACCTTCACTTTTGCTCAGATGATTTCTTTGTCATTGATTGTGTATGTACAATCAAGTGTGAGCTGGGCAATTGGTCTTGGAATTCCTGCTGCATTGATGTTGTTAGCTTATGTGTTATTTTTCATGGGTGATAAATTGTATGTTAAAGTAAAACCAAGTGGCAGTCCCATCAAAAGTATTGTACAAAGATGTGGCCAGACCTTATTCAGAAATCCAAAGATGGAGGAATTGATGTCATTGAGACTTATGTTTTCTGGAACTTACACGAACCTGTTCGACGCCAGGTTCTGTTCTTTTTCATTGTCTTTCCACTTTCATATTGTTATTCTTCTGTCTTTTACATTGCAGTTTTGTGAGTTCTCAAAATTAACGATGGATTACATATTTTGGCTTGGCAGTACAATTTTGAAGGTAGGGGTGATTTGGTTGGATTTGTGAAGGCAGTAGCAGCAGCAGGTCTATATGTTCATCTCCGGATCGGTCCATACGCTTGTGCAGAATGGAATTACGGGTAAAATTGGATCTTTTCAATGTATCATTTTGAAGACAGTTTCATCATAATATCTAATCCCTGACTTTAATTTCTTTTCCCTTCCTAAACAGTGGTTTCCCTCTTTTGTATGGTTGTTTCTTGGATTCTACTGGGTAACTGCTGGTGGTCAGAGTTTGACAAGGGTTTCACCTCAGCTTTACTGGTTAGTTACATCTTAGAATAGTATATATTATCGATAAAATCTTTTGCTTTACGCATTTGTCCCATGTTTCTACCTTGTAACTGTGTAACCATCACACACGTTGTATTTTGCAGGCTCTGTATCACATTTCTTGCTTTCGACGTTGCAATTGTTGTGATTTGTGTTACTGCTGCGTGTCTCATTGGAATTGCCGTTTGCTGTTTTCTTCCATGCATACTTGCTATTTTGTATGCAGTGACTGATCAGGTAACACAGATCACAACAATCTTTTTTCAACTTCATCACACTTAATTTGATATTTAATGTGGCAACAGGAAGGGGCAACCAAGGAAGAGATTGACCTGTTGCCAAAATACAAGTTCAGAATAATAAAGGAACTTAAAAAAGAAGGTGATGCCCAAGAATCATCGAGAGGAGTGATGACGGAATGTGACAGTGGTTCAGCTTCTGAGCATATTATTGCCTTAGAAGATGCAGTAGGTTCCTAGTTATTAAATACGGATTATCTTTTTATAACATGTTCGAACCCGCTCTTTTGCAGTCGGATGTCCATGTATAGCAGCTACCAACTAAGTTGGCTTAACGAGACTATCCTTTTATATTTTCTGATGGATGATCAATTTGCAGGAATGTTGTATCTGCCTTTCGGCCTATGATGATGAAGCTGAACTTAGAGAACTTCCTTGCAATCACCATTTTCATTGCACATGCATTGACAAATGGCTGCTCATCAATGCCACCTGTCCTCTCTGCAAGTTTAACATTTTGAGCACTGATAACCTCCAAGAAGTTTGAACTGGTTACTTGGTGCATTGACAAGGATGGCGGCACAACCCTTTTTCATAACAATCTCAGATGAATTACTGATAAAAATTTCAGATGCAGAGTCACCATTACTTACACCAATTCTCGCTTGCAAAAAGGACATGTTGGTTTCCGATTTCGTTCGACTTTGCTTTAAATATGAAGGTTCTGCAGTTCAGTGCAGTAATCAAATTGGTGTAAGTAATGGTGACTCTGCATCTGTACCGTATTTGAAGGATTGGCATTTTGTGAAGGTATCATTTTTGGCTTTTCATCACTTTATCATTCATTGTTGTACATTCCAATTTTTGTGAATCATCCCAATTTCGTGAACATTCAGCAGGGTCATTCATCTCAAGAGCTATGAATCACATAAAGAGATGATATTCAATGACCAAAAAGTATCACCATCAGGTCTGTGCATGAGAATATATTTGTTTTTAGTTAATATTTGATACATATATGTGAAAAAGATTGCTAATAGTAATATCTGATGGGTCATTCATCATAATTGTATTTGTAGCTTCAAATTTTCATGAAAGATGTGATGAAGAGAAATGAATTGACTGCATCTCTTGGAAATGATGAATTAGTCTTCATCCTGATAAGCTTAAAGCTTTCGGTTTATTTGTCAAATCTAAATTTTTTAGATTGCTAATATTTGACAGTTATAGTAGAGACAAATCATAAACTTTTGAAACATTTGAAATTTTGTTTAGAACTTAATCAAAGCTTAGAAATTCTGTTTAAAATCTCTCTGACTTTGTTTATGACTTATTGAAACCAGGTTTTTATTGGAGATATACTTGCTGCTAATTCATCTCACAGTGAGTTCTTCAATCTGTCGAAGCAATTTTGGAGTATTACACCAGAGGTATTTTCTGATTTAGTTGGTTTTGTGTGTTGAAACTCATCATCCAATTTTGGTAGTGAACATGGATATCATGTTTGTAATAACTATAATGTATTCTTTTACAATAATAATAATAATGTATAGTATACCTCTTATCTACACATATTTATTTAGATAGATAGTATATCATGTTTGTAATAACTATGATGTATTCTTAATATCATTTTGATTTTGTTAAACATACTATCAGTCCAAATATGGTAGATCTGCTATTGCACATGAGATTCAACTAGCATTTTCATTTTCATTTTATTAATTTAAATAAAATAATTAAATTTTTTCATGAGATTAAACATACTATCATTTTCATTTTGATTTTATTAATTTAAATAAAATAATTACATTTTTTCTATAATCAAATTCTATATATATCAACTAGCTTATTAGTCAAAATCTTCTTTATATATAGTATTAATTTGTTAATTACAATTTATCAGTGATTATAATTATTAGTTATATTTTTATAATACATTAAATTACTTAATTGATGTTTAATAAATTTTTTATATGTTTATGTTATGAATAGCATCAATTAGCCTATTGGAGATAATGTGAATACAACAATTGCAGACTTAATTAATGATGATGGAAATTGGAATTGAAGCCATTTAAGGAACATGTTCAGTCGGAAGTTTTTGGATATAATGCTTGTAATACCTCCACCAAGAACAAGGATATAGAGGATCATTGGAAAGGCATTTGGAATCTGAGTGTTACTAAAAGAATAAGGGTTTTTGTGTGGATGATATATCATAATGGAATCAAAACCAACCAATATCTAAACCACTTGAATCTTCCAGATAATTTGTGTGATTACTGTGATGGAAAATGTAGTAGTGTTGTAGCTGAGCTTTGGTGAGTAATGGAAGGCATTGATTTAGCTCGCACAAGGGCATAGAGAAGACTGATGGTGCAAGTAGACATCAACCAAGTTTTTGAAGCTCTCACAATGAGCTTAGTCGAGAAAGGTCTAGGTTTAAATCTGATTCCTAAAATCCAGGAATTTACAAGCACTAATGAAGACATTTCTATCGTCTATATTTATCAGGAATTGAAAAAGTGTGTCGACGTGCTTCTATATGAAGAATGTCCTCAATTTATGTATCATACATATCTAAAGAACTTGAGACGCCTTGATACATATCCAAATTTGATTAGGTTTCTCCTTAGCGGAAAGTGAATTTTATTTTATTGGAGATTTTGTTGTAGTTGATTTTTCTGTACCTTATAACTTTTCATACAATTGGAGTTTGATGATATTTGAATTTTTCTTGTTTATTGGTAAAATTTGCACTTCTTTTTACCTTTGATCACATTTTTTTGATATTATTGATGATTATTTGATATTAAATGTTTTTATTGTAATTAACTTTATTATGTTGAAAAGTGATAGAAAATAAAATAAAAATACTATAAATAAAAAAATATTAAAGTAAATAATAATTTAAATATAATAGTAAAATATTATAGTAAAATAATATTATATTTAAAATTATTTTACTAAATAATAATTTAAATAAAAATATTATTTGAAATTTATAAATCAGATTACGACGGTTAAAACCGCCGCAATTTCTAACCTACGGCGGTAGAATAACCGTCGCAAACAACAACAAAAACAAAAAATAAAGTCAAATTCACGACGGTATATAACCGTCGCTATCTGTTGTGCGTGACAGTTTTGCAACCGTCGCGAAATAGGCTGGGGACGCACGATTCTGCGACGGTACTTCTACCGTCGTAGATTGTAAATTGCGACGGTTTTAACCGTCGTAATCAGCCAAAATAACCGTCCCAATCTATCATTTTTCTTGTAGTGGATATCGGTACAGACCAAAGTGTCACACCAAAGTAGCTACTGCTTCACCCGTGTCGGTCTATGCCGGACAGGTCCCTCACAGCTTATGCTACCTAAAGGGTATTCCCCAGATTTGGGTTAGGATCTATGAAACTCTGATGCAAGCCCACAAATATAAAAGCAATCAAGACATACAATTGAAAACATAAGAGTGGTCTAATCCTAAGGTACACCTCACTTATTATGTTCCCCAGCAGAGTCGCCAGTTCTATGATCGGTGGAAATAGAACTGACTGTTTTAAAATGCTGGTTCGCGAAATGTCGCGGTAAGCAAGAGTCGCCACCGTCTTTTATTTTCTCCAACAAGGAAAGGACAAAAGCACAGCAAAATTCATTTTCGAGATGTTTCTCGGGTTTGGGAGGTAGATTATAAAAAGGGAAGGTGTTAGCACCCTTTCTATCTGTGGTTATCCACGGGCTCTTAGGTACTTGCTCACTATGTTTTCAAAAATTGTTTGCTTTTCAAGTGTATGTGGGTTTTGAAAAAGTTTAGTTTGAAAATCTTCTAGGTAACTCTTGTATCAGTCCTCAAGAGTGTATGAAGTATTTGTTTGAAAACTTTTTGAAAGTGTGAGTGCGAAAAGTTGTTTTTGTTTTTTGAAAGAGCAAGTACCCAGGAGAAATCTACCTACTCTAAGGAATTAAGCTGTGTAAGAGTCTTTTAGACAGTACTATCCCACTATTGAGAAGTAGGTAGCACCGTCGTTGGAGTTATTCGAGTCAATTCGATTATAGGGACATGTGTGGTCACCAAAGCAATAGTAGGACTCCTTAGCGGTAACCCTAATGTCCTAGATCCTTTTTTATCCGAGGCAACTGTTTCGAGGCAACTAGATATTTAGACAGGAGGGCGACCTCTAAAACACCCTATACTTAATGTCCACCTCGAGGCAACCAAGTGAGGCGTACCCTAGGAGTGGCATGTGCACGTGTGTCAGGTTTCAGTTTAAATTATCTTTGAACATGCATCATTGTGAGCTACGAGTTGATTTTATTTTTCATACAAGTCTTGTCATGCATAATTAACAATTTAACAATTGTATGGAAAATAAATTGCGGAAAGTAAATCTACGCTATTACAAGGCGTCGGGTATTTACATCGCCAAAAACATAACCCTTGAAAATAAATGCGGGAAATTAAAGAAAGCGATAAAAGTCCTAATTATCTATTACATTCTCGGAGCAGATACATAAATATGATCAAAAATAAAGTGCGCGAAGAAATTAAATCGGGAACGTCCTTAGGGTTTTGACCCTTTTTGAGAAAAGAAAGAAATTTGGTCCTTTTTTGCAATTAAATTAAATATTTTACCTAAAACTAATTAATTAATTATTTAAAAGAAAAAAGTATTTTTGTGTTTTTTATGTTTTAATGAAAATAAAATAAAATAAAAGGAATTAAAATTGTCAAAAGAAAAACCCTAATTCTAGATTTGTTTTATTTATTATAAAAAAAATTAAAATTGTCCTAATTAAACAACTAAACTAATTAATTAGAATTTATTTACAAAATAATAATTAAGGTGAAATTAATAATAAGAATAATAATAATAAAAATATTTACTGAATTTATTAGGAAAATAATAATTTGTGAGTTAAATAATAATAATGATAATAATTATAATTAAATTATTAAAAGAAAATAAAAATATAAAAGAAGAAAAGAAATAATTAAACCAGGGGGGTGATGGGCCCATAATGGAGGTTTGCAAGCAGTTCCAAGGCCCATTAACATCAATCCTTCGTTGACTTTCTGGATCATCCACGCCTGCATTGACTGGAGAATATCATGATCTTCATCTTTTGACCATTGGATTTGTGATAGTGGACACATGGCGCCTGATTGCTTGAAGCGCATGGTGGGACGTTGTTGGAACGCTGCATGTAATCATGTTAGAAAAAATAGAAACAAAGGTTTGGGGGACCTGGGAATCAAACCCAGGTCCCAATGGTTACCAGACAGCTCATCCTCCACTACGCCAGTTGAACGCTTTTGTTAATATGGTAATGATCAATTATAATATATAAAATCAACCATTATGCTGGAAACAAACACGTGCGCGCTATTATATTTGAATCAACCAATAGCACGCCACCAGCTCATCGTCTTCTTCATTTACCTGAAAAAATATAAAGAGATAGCGGGGGTTTTTAACCCCCACAATATGGAATGACAAATAATAGCGATTAGGCGTAGAGGCTATATAAATTGTTCGCGAGGGTTGGGTTCAATTCGTCTTGTCTCCACGAATTCAACCATAGGTCTTTCAAAGCTTAATTTTTCCTATATCACAAAGCCCCAATTTGAGAGCTTGGAAAACCTAAAATTCATCAATGGCAATTTCTGTTTCAGGGCATTTCAATGCAATTAAATCACACCATTAACTTCATATGAGTCCTATGAACACAAAACAATCAACAAAACATGTCAAATGCGCATGAATAATGAGATGCGATTCTGAAAAATATGTGCAAACCGTTAAACCGTTTTTGATGATTCTTGTGGCTTTAGTGCTTGGTTTCGATTGCAATATGTTCCTAGGGACCCCTGCAATGTGTTAGAAGCAATTAAAAGTATTGAATTGGCCTTGAAGTGAGAAAACAGTTTTCAAGTTTCTTGAAAAAAATTCAATATGGCTATGGCTTTTTGCAGCAGCTTTTCACGTGTATGGCATTAGGGTTGAGTTGTGCATATATGGTAGAATGGATTTAGGTTAAAATCTTGCAAGGAAATCCATGAAATTGATGTTCCAATATTTGATTGAAAATCAAATATTTTTCAATCTTTTTGATTGAGAAAACTTGCTAAATTGAGAGATTCTTGTCCCCTTGATGTGTACACAAAATCTCCAGCACATGTAGGTCATATTTGCTTCATGAAAAGATTGCAAAACCATATCTTGATATTTTCCTACAATTAAATGAATTAAATGAATTAATATTGATTAAAAATTCAATTAATTAATAAAAAATAAGAAAATAATTCAATTTAATTTCAATGGGTCGTGCATAGGCCTTGGACAAAGTTTCAAGAAGTAATTTGAGGCCCATTAGTAAAAACAAGGTGTTTTGAGCAAAGTTGACTTTTGCAAATTCACAAAAATTTCCCAACTTCTCCAATGCATATCTTGCTCAATTTTGATCATATGAACATGTTATTGGACATTTTGGAAAGTTCTTGAAGTCCTCTAACCAATTCCTTTGGTCCCATGTCATTTGGATTTACCAATCTCAAGTTATGGTCTTTGACTTAAAGTGCCTTTTTGTTGACTTTTGAATTTGACCTATAATGTAGAAATTAATAACTTTTTGTGAGAGCATTTCTTAGACTTGGAATGTGAAAATGAGTTGTAGGAAATGTCATCCCTTTCAAAATGAGCATTGGATGGGATTTTTCTGATGAACCATAAAAAAGTTATGCCCTGGTCAAGATACAGTTGACTTTTCTGCTGTCCAAAAATAACAACTTTTGCATCCTTGATGATTTTTGAGCCATGCTTGTGGAATCATGATAAAGACTTGATAAAATGATGATTATGAGCTCAAAATAAGATGTTGACCAAAAATTCTGACTTTTGACTGTAAAATGACCATTTTACCCCTGCAGTTGATTGTGAACCAAATAGGGCTTTTGACTGTGCAATTTGCCTCTGTGAGTCTTGAGACTTGACATGTAGGAGCTTGAGAATGTTTATAGGCCTTTGGGACTTGATTGAGCCATTGAAAAACCCCAAATTCATTGAAGGAACCAAAGCCCTAATTTCAGCTGGCTTAGGAGGCATTTGGACTGTGCAACCCTTGAGTGGTCTTGAACCATTTGAAGATGATTCTTGACAAACCTTGAAGAATATGGGAGGGAAAATTTTGGGGTACAATAGTTGCCCCTGTTCAATCTTCTTAAACTTGAGGATGTAGATTGGCTTGCGTGCCTTTCGTGATCCGAAGGTGGAAGATGATTGAACACTAAAGTGCCCAGAAATTTGCACTCGCATAGTAGAATATCAGCAATGTGATGTCGGGAATGGGCTTACAGATGCCATTTGGAGAAATGATGGATAGGAGGATGGGCTTATAGATGCCATCTGGAGATGTGACAGAACCTTGTCGGGAATGGGCTTATAGATGCCATTTGGAATTGTAATGGATAGTTGTGGAGATGGGCTTAAAGATGCCATCCAGAGAACTTGCGTACCTGAGAAAGAAAGATAATTTCCTGGCCTGTTACAGGGGTTGATCTTCAAACTCTTCATGCAGATATGCCCTGGCTAGATATAGGTATCGAATCTACAATCAATTGCTCACAGATATGCCCTGGCTAGATA